ATCAAAACAACCTAATTCTATACATGTATTGTACTGTACACCAAACATAAAAAAAACACAGCATTTCAATTTCATTTGTACCTGTTTCCCTGTGTTGCCATATATCAAGCAAAGATATTATAATTATAATTTTAAATCATAACAGTACATTGTCTTTAATAACTTAAATTAAAATTCATAATTGCCCATACTGAACCTTAGGTATATAAATTAAAAATTAAATTATACATGTATAGTTAATTGTTAACTTAGTTTATATATTTATACAGAAGTTTATGACACGGTTTTGTGGTGCACAAAACTTAGTTTTTTTTTGGTTAAAGTATATGTCCACTTTTTTTTATTTTGGGGATAAGAGGTTGGGCTTATTCCAGATACGAGATAATATGAAATTTTCATAAATATTTAGTCATGTAATCGCCTAAATAAGTATGATTATACATCTTATTAAGGTGTAATTCATTGAGTAAAATACTATTACACAGGTTGAATTTATCTTAAAAAATTTAATTAAGCTTGGACCTTATATATAATTTATCTAAATGCCATATTAGGTACCAGATCTAAGAGACAGATTTTTTTTATTATGACTGATCTGTATGTCATTTTGAATTAGTACAACAATTATTTCCTTGACTTACCAGAAGTTAAGATAATCCAGGTATATAAAAACACTTCAAAAATTAAACACTCTAATTCTAACCAAGTCCAAATCAAATATGAAATATGCAAATGAGTGGTATAGGTTTTAAGTTTAGATCAATCAACTTGATAAATTTGACACTAGTAAATCCATCATATAACTTCACTGTAACCAGTCCTCAATTTTACACCCTTGTATAGACGTAAGTTTCAAGTATCATAATTGATCGTAAAAAAATTACACACCTTGCAAAGTGTGTCATTGTTTGAATCAAATGATGTATGATGTATATTGATACACAGGTATATGTGTAGTAACAAAATAGTATGCTTTGATCAATTAGTAAGATATATTTTAAGTGCATTTTGATGTTTTAAAGCAATGATGTAATACTACAATTTAAAAAGAGACAATATATATTGCATGTTAACATTAACCTTGCTTTGACCTTTGTGGTAAAACTAATAAACACAATTATCTACAATAAATTAACCACTTAAGCAGTATACATATCATTCATTATTATGGAGTGGCTTACCACAACCATTCTGTCTCATCTGGTATGGTTAAAAAATCTGACTAAAAACACATTCAACAAATGTAATTCAGACTTAAATGCTTCGCAAGGTGCAGCTTGATACAACCACAGAGGTGGAACCCTGAACAATTGGGGCAAGTATTGACACAACATTCAAGCTTGATACAGCTCTGAATTTGGATTGTGAATAAATATTTGACACAGCATAGGTTTCTGACACAGAACGAATGTGGTCCAAGAACTTAAAATTTTGAAATTGGACATTTACCTATTATGGTCCAATACCCAAAATCAAAATACATGGTTAGATTCAGCATATCAAAGAACCCCAAAAATTCAATTTTTGATGAAATCAAACAAGTTTAATTTTGGACCCTTTGGACCTTAATGTGGACCAACTTGAAAACTGGGTCAAAAAAGAAAATCTAATTACATGTTTAAATTCAGCATATCAAAGAACCTTAAGAATTCAATTTTTGTTGAAATGAAACAAAAAGTTTAATTTTGGACGCTTTGGACCTCAATGTGGACCAATTGAAAACGGGGCCCAAAACTAAAAAATCTAAATACATTGTTAGATTCAGCTTATCAAAGAACACAACCATTCAATTTTAGATGAAATCAAACAAAGTTTAATTTTGGACACTTTTGACCTCAAAGTAGACAAACTTAAATATGGGATCTAAAATCCAAATTCTTAATACACGGTTAGATTCAGCATTTCAAATAATTTTCCAAATAATGAAAAAATGAAAAAATTGGTAAAATTTTTCATGTAAGGGGAATAACTCCTACAAGAAGGAGTCTGACAGGTTTGACATAAACGGCCAGTAGGTTTGAACATTTCTGCCCTGTCAGATTTTCTCTATTTTTGGCCCTTTAGTATTTCTTCTCAATTTTTAAATGAAAATGTTTGAAAATGGGGAAACAACAGGCATAATATCCATAGGAAATGATAACATTCAATATAATCAAACAGTCAATAGCTTTTAAAAGAGTTAAATCAAAATACCTTCATTCCCCACAGTCCCTTATCCAACCAAATCAATGATTTAATTACCAACAATTTCCTTCAGTTTCCCACCATGAATGGTCATACTAAAGCAAAATTCTTTCAACCCATTTTTTGTGTTTAAATTACTTAGAATGTGTTTATTGTTTTATCATTTCATGTCTAACCAGTTCTGCAGTCAAGTGTAATGCAAATTAATTATACATCTGGTAAATCACAGAGAGGATCTGCAGGTAATCTATAACCAGTAATTATTACCCTTACAGCATAATTGAGTTGATGAGAAATCTCAAGGAATTACAACATTATACTTAGACTGGAGATGAGAACAGGTACAGGATAAAGGACAGTTGTAACCTGCATGCCTATTAACTTATAAAGCTTCCACTATAAAACAGGAACAAGTAAAAATCTTCACTTTTTCTATGATCTCATATTTCGGAAAGTGATTGCTTGATTGATTTTTGGTGTTTAACACCACTTTCAAATGACGGTATATCCAGAAAAGTGCTTAAAAAGCTCATTATTAAATGTATCACACTCCATACATTTTTTTCAGAGATAAGTGGAAATGCCATGGTTCAAGTAGCCAATGTACTACACAATTTTTTTGTTTGTTTTTAAACATACATTTCCAGCAAAAGGGGACATTGTGATAGGCTTGACTACAGATTTCAACTTTAATATAAGTTAGCCAACTAATTATGACATGTATGAGGCTTTAGACTTGGCAACTTTTGTTAAAAAGAAAAATTATGCCATGATACAAATTGCAAGATATTAGTCGAACATGGAAATTGTCTTACATAAATTAAACAAACAGAGTTTGATAATCGCTAATAAAAATCAACACAAAGTCACATTGATGCAATTAAATGCAAAGAAAGTAAGTACCAATAACTGAAGTTAAGTGAAAGTTAAAGTTGGTTTACAGTAAAACCAACTTACTTTCACTTAACTTCACTTATCAGTAAATACTTTCGAGTTTTTGTTCAACATTAGACTATTGGTGCATGCATTTGGATTGTTCAGCTGGGTCCCTTTCCATAATGATAATTTACTACAGTAACTAACCAATTTGGCCAAAAAAACCTTTTTTCTACCATTTTCAAGCATATTGAATTATATAATAAAATATCTACAAGATGGAGTTCTCAATTTACACATACAGTTTCAATTTACTGATTTCTCTTTCTCATTTCAACCCTCAGTGAAAAACATCCCTAAGATCCAGATGAGGTAATGTCTTTAACATAACCTGCAATTATGTGGTTATAAAACCAGATAGGTGTTAGTTTCTATGGTCTCTGGTAAAACATTTGTTTTTTGATGAAAGGCTATTAGGGATGACTGACTAACCAAGTTTGATGGAATTCACAGGAACTGTTAAAGAAGGGAGGTAATCCAATCCTCATTAAGTTAAAAACCTATAAATAATTCAAGATCTTATAACAAACTTTTGTTTTAAGTTTGGTATATATTGTGAGTGCATTTGAGGGCCTTCAGTCTAAATGATAAATTTTAAGTGGTAATGTTGAAAGCATGCAGTTCTAATTGTTTCTGCTTTTAATAGCAAATTTTCCTAAAATAAAGATTTTTTTTTGTTTCCACAAGTACCCCTAAGAGAACACATGTTTAAGTTGTATATATTTCTTAAGAAGTTACATGCATGTTACTTCATGAAAAGGTATCAAGAACCTTAATCATAGACCTGTATATAACTATACCTATAAATAATTTAGGGGTGGGAATCTGAAACATTTTTAATATATTTAATGAGTTTTTCTAAAAGGACTGAGGACATGACCCCCAGGGGCAAACCCTTTGGTGCATTTAAAAGGTCTTGCCATGGAAAGCAAGAATATTTATGGTTAAGGATGGACGTAAGAAAATCTATCATTTGATCCTAAAAATCAAAGGTTAAGGTCAAAGGCAATCTTGACGTAAATGTAATGACAGTTGTCTTGAAGTGCTACACCCCATGTAAAAAATATCATTTGATTTTCTAAAATGATAAAAAAGTTATATTCTGGAGGCAATAAGTCAAAAAAATTAATCATTTTCACCTTGACTTTAAAGGTCAAGGTCACTTGGAGGTAATGATTGTTTGCTAAACACTGTCTTTAGGTAAAACATTATTTTGCAATTAGCATAAGTCAATGTCATAAGATAAAGAAAATTTTAGCCAGGACTAGGTTGTATGTATTTTTCTATTGCCTAGGCTAAAATAAATCACATGCAAAAATCAATATGAAAATTTATTATATACTCTATGTTTTTTAATACTCTTGGGTACTTTAAGTAAAAATTCCTTTCATATTTATACATTTAATTCAAAACTGCAGAAGATTCAAGTGCATAAAAGGATATAAGTCAGTGAGACAGTAACCCGTCAACACAAAAACCTAAGATGCTCTCATCCAACAATATGATGCAATTGACATCTACAGATCATATTTCATTTGATATATTTGATTGCTACTAATAATTTGTTTTAATGAAGTAAAATTTCTACGGAGCCACCAGCTTTGTTTTTTTAGCAGAAATCTGTTAGTCTCCATATGAAGAGTGAAAAAAGTCTAATAAACATGATAAGGTGTAACATTATGATGATGTAACACGGCAACATAATAGTTTTTCATGCTTTTTCACATAACAAAAAATCTACCAAACTTAAATGATTTCAAAGTTTAAAACAAAACTGTTGAGTGGTGACCCATATAAATCTTACATCATTACACCAGAAATGTTCCCAGCAATAAAATCCTATTTCATACAAAATGAAAGAACCTTAGTGATGGCACTCACATACCCCACGTCCCCACATTGTCATTGGAGAAATAAAATAAGTGTAAGAAAAAAAAAATGAATCATAATTTCCTGTCAATATGCACATCTACATAGAATGTCCTTATTATCTACACAGTTTCATGAAATTCTGTTGTGTGGTTTGAGAGGAGTTGCGATGACAAAAGGTTGCAGTAGTATATTGGGCAAATAAGTTCAAAGGGGCATAACTCCTGGAAAAATAATTGAATCGTAATTTCCTGTCGATATGCACATCTACGTAGTATGTCCTTATTATCTGAAAAGGTTTCAGGAAATTCTGTTGTGTGGTTTGAGAGGAGTTGTGATGACAAAAGGTTGCAGTAGTATATTGGGCAAATAAGTTCAAAGGGGCGTAACTCCTGGAAAAAAATTGAATCGTAATTTCCTGTCGATATGCACATCTACGTAGTATGTCCTTATTATCTGAAAAGGTTTCATGAAATTCTGTTGTGTGGTTTGAGAGGAGTTGCGATGACAAACTGTTGCAGTAGTACATTAAAGTAAATAAGTTCAAAGGGGTGTAACTCCTAGAAAAATAATTGAATCGTAATTTCCTGTCGATATGCACAACTACATAGTATGTCCTTATTATCTAAAAAGGTTTCGTGAAATTCTGTTGTGTGGTTTGAGAGGAGTTGCGATGACAAGAAACAGGACTGACGGACTGACGGACAGACAGACGGACAGACGGACAGAGACTGACGGACAGACGGACGGATGGACGGACGGGTCAAAAACATTATACCTTCTGCAACTCGTGGGGTATAATTATGTGGACAGGTTTAAAAGAAACTGCTATTTTAAGAGAAACAATTCATTTATTGAACTTTTTAAATGCACTCTATATAAATATAAATTTATCAAACATTTTTATGATTGTATCTATGAATGTTTAAATTCTCCATAAATAATTTGTGAAGAGTTCTAAATGCTTACAAATTTTCATAGAAAAACCCAGAAAAAAAAATATACTTTGTCTGTCTGAACAATATTAAAAATTTTACACAAACACTGCTTTTAAAGGTTGGTTCCCATTCCAGTAATGAGAGGGACTTGGACCCTAATGTCAATCAAGACTTTGTATTATCCATTAAAAAGAACTATATCCAAAACCAAATGGACAACTGAAAAAACGCACAAACAAGCTAACATCTTTTTTAAATATATATTTCATGTCTGCTTGGAGCTTAACCATTTGCTAATCTGACCAGTTCACATCAGGTCATGAAATTTAAAGGCATCTCTGATAAATGAGTTTGATCCAAACAAAGAATATATAAGAATTTATGGCACCTGATATATAGAAACAGATATAAAGATTTTAACGAAAATTTACTTTTTTGGCTTAATTTTGTCTTAGTTGCAAAATATTATGGACAATAAAAACAGAAATATCACGAAAAAATATAGCAAAACTTTAAATAAAAGTTAAAAAATGCAAAAAAACTATGTAGAAATAAAACAACAAAAAATTGGCTCTTTTGTAGTAAAATCGTAAAACTTACCCATATCCACCACCCCAGTCAAAGATAAAGTTATCCATTGTCCACCACAGTATTCAAATGTTCCGTTATTGAGTTTTCTCAACTTTGGTAAGTTTTTTCATATATCAAAAGTACCAAAAATCCATTAAAATATTAAAAGTGAGTCTTTAATTCTGCCAATTACAATTTTACATTTGAGAGCTCATCTGTCAATTTCCATTCCCTTGTCTACTAAGTTTATATTTCCTTGTTATGTCTTGAAGTAATTATTTCATCATTTGAAGCTTCTTTTCTTCTAATTTTCTCAAATCAGCTGTCTTACACATAATGAAATAACATGTTCATTTTTCTCCAGATGATAATTAACAATTCTATACAGTATCCTCACTCAACTCTTTTTATAATATATGCATATATCCATATGATACATGTTACTGGTGAAAGCTACACTTTGTTTATTCTTTGGGTGGCAGTCTTAGAACATACAGAGATCTTCCATTAACAAAGATTTGATTTCTTACAGGAATCTATTAAGCTTCCTGTAAACAAATGTTTCTGTTGACTTCCTTTTCAAAGGTCTTGCTTTAATAAGAGACATTCTCCACTGTAGTAATTATGTGTATCGTTATATAGTATTAGAAAGGTACACCTCAAAAACCATAAACAAAACCTTTCTGGTATATATTAAATCAATAAAACTCAAAATTCATTTTTTTTGCCATAATGAATGCATAGATATACATCTTTAAACTGAAGCATTTAAAGCATCAGATTTCTTTTACTTAAATTATCCATGTAAAATTTATGATGGTCAATTAAATGTTTTAAGATAAAGACTCAGTCTACAAGATATTATTTACACAGATCAACAAAATATCTTTAATCATTTCTTAAAAAACCTTCAAATTTATGAACTTATGAGATAAAATTCATATTTTCCCATCAATTTAACAGTAGTTAATTATGTTTAATTTATATTTTCTTATCTACGCAACCAACATTGTCTATCAATCATTTTTCATTTTGGTTAATTTTGAAAAAAACATTTTTACCAGCCAATAAATGCATTTCAACTATAGCTTACGAAAAGATAGTAAGAAATACTCTAGGTGCTAGAATTAATGGAACTTCCCATAAAGTGTAAAAAATGCAGTATGCCTCTAAAATGCATCTGTTTTCTTCAATCTACTAATGAATAAAGATGCTCAATTCTTACACAATCCTCGACACAAGATGAAAAAAATGTTGACATTGCTCATCATAGTGTTATTGTATCACTGTGTCAGATTTTTTCCTTCCTGGAATATGACAGTAATACTTTTAAGAAAACAATAACAGTCGCATAACAACATGTGCAAATCTCTCTGCAGGAAATAAAATAGATTGAACATCTGCAGCATAAAAAGGTACCATCTTACAACATGAGATACTGTATGTCCTCTTAAATTCACATTTGCTTTTAATGTGCATCAGATTATATAATTTCCAGTAATATTTCTTCAAAACCAAATCCTATTGAATTGCAAATTTTTCATCACAGATTTACACGAATTCACAAAGTTTTAATTTTCAACATTTTTCCTCTGCATTGTTTATGCCACAGTGACAGAAGATCTACTAGAGGTTCCAAAAGTATAAAATTCTTCAAATGCATTTAGTGTAAAAAAGTCAGATGGAATGTGATCCTTCATTCCTTCATTAGATCTTCAGATACAATATAAATTACCGTAATTGCAAAATAACATCCTTTGTGAACTGAACCACAAAAATATGTAGGTTTCGAATGAAAATCTCACATATGTACCAGATGAATTAAGCAAAAAACTGACAGTATGATATTTCAAGTGTACAGAAATGAATAATAAGGCAAAAATCAACATAGACACGAATTTACATGACCACCTTTTTTTAATTGTAGTAAATACTCAAGCAATAAGTGTTTGCAAATGATTCTTAAGGTTTTATTACCATTTACATAGTAATTCAAACTCATGAGAAAGTTCTTAATAAGTCAAAAGGAGTATTTTTTATGGTTTCTTTAAGCTATCATCTTTTTATAGATACAATCAATTATAAAAATAGTGTTCAAACACCATTAAGGTTACAGAAAGGCCATAGTTGTTTAATTTAGTTTTTAAAGGAAGTGTTGCTCAAAAGGATTACAGTAAATTCTATGTACTCAATTCAAACAATGGAAATTATAAAGAAATTTATACATCAACCAAAATTTATTAAATGCTCTATTTAACTTAGACTATAATGCATATCCAAATAAAATGCACATACCAGTACTATGAAAAAGGTTTGAAATAATATGTCACAATAAATAAACAAAATAATGCTCAATTCATAATTACATTCATGTGCAAGAGTTATTTCCCATGTGCCATTTCATTTGTTTAGAGTTTGATTGATTGATTGATTGGTGTTTAACACCACTTTCAGCACTATTAGCTATATCATGGCTGTCAGTTTTTATTGATGGAGGAAGCAAGAGTGTGGAAAGAGAACCAGGACCTTCAGCAAGAAAACTGCAAATCTTTTTCAGTTTGATTTTTGGTCTGATTTTATTAAAAAAAAACATATATATTTTTTAAATCTTCCAATTAACAGGCTGATTTTATTCAATTACTGTGAATACCATACTGTAAAACTGAAACGATTAATTACTGCAAATTCAAATTTGTAATTAACTGCTGCACATGAGTTTTCTATATTAAATCATCTTGTGAAAAACTGTTTTGACAGTCATAAATTGGAAGAAATTAATGGAGTAAATATCTCACCTCATTTCAAAAGGTAACAAATTTTGTTTTTTTAGGTCTTTCCACCTTTCTGTGCAAACCTTAGAAGTTTTGAAAATTTTTGTTTCTTCCATTGCTTTTTTTACTTACGCTGTTTTTCCAAATCTCTATAATAGTTAGGAGCACAACTTCAACATATATGTGCAACCTCTCAGTGAATTTGAGGGATATAGGTTGAAAACTGTAGATGGAGTTAATTACACAAATTAGTTACAAAACCACCCACCTGCCTGACCAACATCACCATTATACTATAAGCTGGGTTTGGTCTTCATCCAACCCACCAAAAATAGCAAAAATTGGGGGTCACAATTCTTCAACAGTATAAAGGAAACCATGAAAATCAAAATATGATATACATTGTCAAGCAAAATTTCAATCCATTAAGTGCAGCAGTTGTCTATTTATCCTCTACATTAACAGACAGATGGACATGTGCACCACTATATTCACCACACCCTTTCAATCTGTAGGATTAAAAAGATAAACCAGAATGCTGAACAAATCTCTGCAGGAAATCAAGCTTGAAATGTCAATTTTGTACACTATTTAAATTATTTTTGTAGTAGTTCCAAATCCTTAACCCTTTGGTAGATCCAAATCCTGTAACCCTTAAATCAATGCCTGCTTAAGATATTCTTAGCAAAATGATTAATTAAACATTTAAAAAATGAACCTAACCTACCCATGTAATTGATCATATTATACATATAAATGGGAGTTAACAAAAGACTTCAGAGATTATGTTAAAAAGATAAAAATTTGACAATAGCAATAAATTTTTTATTAAGTAATCTTATATTCAGTTTGTGGTGAATTCAACTTTGATGATATAGGACACTAAAATATGGGATGAGAGTTCTTTCTGTAATTAATCTTTCATGAGATGAACTTATCTTTAAATGAAAAAATTTGAGACTTCAAAACTGCTGTACAAGATAAAACACAAAAAACGATGCTGTTTTAACAACAAGCCATTTGTTACAGTGAAACATTATAAGAAAGTCTGCACTTAATACAGCATGTGTTATAAATCAACTAATAGGTGGATGCAGGGGGGCTTTGGACAGTTACCCCACCCTCCGATCCACTATCATTTCTTTCAAGTTTCAGTATTACAAATAAATGTTGGGTAAATAAAAAACGTGTTACACAAAGGAAAATAATCTGAAAGTATTAAGTATTTTTATTGAAGAACCTAGAACACAGAGAAAGTAAATAAAAATTTGTCGGAAAAGTTGGGAAAGGGGGGAGGTATAGTTTCAAGCAACTGTGAAAATTGAGTAAATTCCTCCCTTCCATAATCTTGATTCTTCAAAATAATTTCATTTCCCCTTCTGAATCCCTTTCTTGATTTCTTGATTTTTAGATTTACCAACATCAAAACAAACAACATTAATGTAATTGCTGTTACAACACTATAGGTAATGTAATATAAGAATGAGGTACACAGAAGTTTTCTTTTCTTATAGTCTGTAAATTTCAATTTCTATAACCTTGATTTTCAATAAAACCCCCCTCATCGACATATTTAGATGCTGTAACTTCAAACAGATCATTATCATTTAAGAAAAATGAACTAATTGATGTCAGGATATCCGGCACAATGATTAAAACTCTGCTGAAAGAAAACATTACCACAAGCGAAGAGGATAATTATTTACTAAATGATGTGTTTTATGCTGATTAAATTCTAACCTATGGTATGTTGCAGAAACATCAACAACTTATAAATCAGTGCATGCTTATGATTAACTTAAAATTACATGTTTGCACCTGTCTGTTAGCATACTGCTGATGATAAAACAGTGCACTTAGTAATCACTAACCTACAAGTTATGGACAATAATCATTATTTCTACTGGACTTTCGATGGACAATAATCATTATTCCTACTGGACTTTCGATGGACAGTAGTCATTATTCCTACTGGACTTTCGATGGACAATGCCAACAAATTACAGGATTGAAATCTTAGTTTATCTTAAAGATTCATTTATTGATTGGTTAATTGTTGCTTGATACCCAGTGGCAAATATTACATGCATATTTAGGACCATAACATGTTAACTTTTTATGAATATATTGAATCACTTAGATTTTTCTCATGTTAGCTCACAAAGTGATAAATGGTATAGTTATACCTGGGGAAAGTCTGTATTATCTCCAGCTGTTATTCTGGCTTCCTTCCAATCTGACTAAAATACAGGTACTGTGTACATGCTTTGCTGTAACAAAGACTAAGCAAAGCGTGGACACAGTATCTAGATTTTAATCAGACTGGCTTCCTCCACCAAGCTTCAAGCATAGATTTACCAAGTAAACCAAAGGTTATATCTCTAAAATATATAAACCTATTGTTATAATCATAAAAATTACTGCTTGTGAAAAATATGACAAAATAATAACATGGATGATAATTTTTCCATAAGAATTCAAAGCTATGACAATTTTCCATAAGAATTCAAAGCTTGCCAACATACCTTGATAATTCCATGCTGTTATCTTGCATGTGAACAATCCAAATTGACCTATTTGACACCTAATATTACAACTTGACCCTAGATTACACCTAATCTTATACTAGGGATTATAAAGTGCAATTAAACATAAATTTTGCAAGGTTAAGTATCCATTATGAGACTTGATCTAGATCATGTTTACAAAGTGATTGCTTGCTGGTATTGGAACCAAATTCTTGATCTATATGTTTTATATAATGTAATCTATTATTTCTACATGTGTCCATTGTCTATGATTTAATTCTATAACTGATGACCTTTTTCAAAGGATGGAGTCATGGGTTACTTTATAATTCTATAACTGATGACCTTTTTCAAAGGATGGAGTCATGGGTTACTTTATGATGCTTATGTTTGTAATAAAATTTTAGATGCAGGAAACATTAATTGTTGGTATTCATCTATGAGATATGTCCTTCAATCACTTGATATACAAAATTTGAATACAAAGCTCAATAGATTAATTAAATTTGTAAAATGTAAACTTTGTAACAGTTTTAAAACATTTTGGGGGGTCAAAAGATCTGATACCTTATCACAAGGTAATAGTAAATTAGAAAATTATTTCAACCTCAAGACTGACTTCGTAAAGGAGGCTTATTTATCAATTAAAGAATTTTAATATAAGAAGAGCTATATGTAAATTGAGAATAAGTGCACATGATCTTAAAATTGAGAAAGATAGGTATAGTAAAAAATACATAGAGAGAAGTCAGCGTCTATGTCATCACTGCCTATCACATGGATCAAATTCTATTGAAGATGAGACCCATTTCACAGTAAGTTGTCCTTTATATAACGAACAGAGAAAATTATTATGGGATAAAGTAAACAGTTTTTGTAATAATTTTAAAGAATTACCCAAGGATAAAAAATATTTCTGGCTGTTCACAAATGAGCATTTACCAACTCTTATGTGCCTAGGCAATTATATAATTAAGTGTTTAGAAATAAGATCCAGGTGGATACAAAATATATAAAATTATTATGCAATTATTGTTAATGTTATGTAAGACACATGATGTGTTAGGCTCTGATCCTGTCCAATATATGATAGTATTATATTAGGATATAGTTTTTCTTTTTTCCAATCATATTGTGCTTAATATTGTTGTAAATGATGCCCTTTATGGGTTCTTGATTAGATTAATAAAATTCTTATCTTATCATTTGGCAGATCCAGAATGTGTGTTTATGTGTTTGGCTTGGGGGTATGAAGAAGGGAGTTGAACCTCCTTTTCTTTTAAAAAATGGTTGGCATTTACCCCCCCCCCCCCCCTTTTCCAGATAGAACCCCTAGAAAGCACATCCTCTAAGAAGTTCTGGATGAATGACTCAGAATTTGGATCAATGTCCCAATAATTTAGTCTGCTGATACATTGTACTTGTCATATGAGAGACCTTTCTTTCTAGAGCCCATCTCCTTTGGAGTACCACTTGACACAGTCACTAGCTTAAATAAATTTGTTTTGAGAGTCTTTGGTAATAGAAAGGTCAGTTATTGATGCGACAAGATAGATTCTGCAGTACAGTGGATTCATTGATAAATGGGGGTACCAATTTTCGTTCATTTCGTGGTTACAGGGAAACCACAAAATTAAATGTTTAATGCAGTATAAATTATAAATAGAATTAAATACTAACTCTTCCAAACCATGAAATCAAATAACAATGAAAATACAATTTTTCCTCAATCCACGAAAAATGGTACCCACAAAAATAACTGAATCCACAGTCTGTTAAATTTATTCTTACCTTTGTTCATTCAGAGACATGTCTCTGGTTCATTGTACAAGAATACCTTAACAATGACATTATGTACTACTTTAAAAATTTGACTATATATTAAGGCAATTATAATCCATTCTAGTATTAATAAATAATTCACTTATTGTAATAATTGTCATACTGTATATGCATATTTATGTGTAAATTGTTAGTATTATAGGGTTTAATGACCATTTAAATAGCACAATTTCTAACCTATTATCAGACTATGTCAATATTCAAATCTAATATATAGAAATATTCTGATAACATTGATATTACACCTACAAAGCTGTCATAAAAAGCTTTACCCACTGAGTTGACAGAACAAGTGCAGACTGAAGTAATGTTAATTCAGAAATTTTTTGGATGTTTTTAATATTGCAAAAACAAGAGTGCACACGCTGAAATGTCTCGCCTTCTTTACTAATCATTGATATTATGTTGATAGTCCTAAATATAAAGCTTTATTACAACTGTCACATAAACTTAACATTAACCAAGTAAACTAAACATTGACCAATGAACCATGAAAATGAGGTCAAGGTCAGATGAACCATGCTAGGCAGGCATGTATAGCTAACAATTCTTCCATACAACAAATATAGTTGACCTATTGCTAATAGTTTAAGAAAAACAGACGAAAACACAAAAACTTAACACTGAGCAATGAACCTTGAAAATGAGGTCAAGGTCAAATAAAACCTGCGTGACTGACATATAGATCATAAAATATTTCCATACACCAAATATAGTTGAACTATTGCATATAGTATTAGAAAAAAAGACCAAAACTCAAAAACTTAACTTTGACCACTGAACCATGAAAATGAGGTCAAGGTCAGATGACACCTGCCAGCTAGACATGTACACCTTACAATCATTCCATACACCAAATATAGCTGACCTATTGCATGCAGTATTAGAAAAAAAGACCAAAACTCAAAAACTTAACTTTGACCACTGAACCATGAAAATGAGGTCAAGGTCAGATGACACCTGCCAGCTAGACATGTACACCTTACAATCATTCCATACACCAAATATAGTAGACCTATTGCATACAGTATAAGAAAAACAGACCAAAACACAAAAACTTAACTATAACCACTGAACCATGAAAATGAGGTCAAGGTCAGATGACACCTGCCAGTTGGACATGTACACCTTACAGTCCTTCCATACACCGAATATACTAGACCTATCGCTTATAGTATCTGAGATATGGACTTGACCACGAAAACTTAACCTTGTTCACTGATCCATGAAATGAGGTCGAGGTCAAGTGAAAACTGTCTGACGGGCATGAGGACCTTGCAAGGTACGCACATACCAAATATAGTTATCCTATTACTTATAATAAGAGAGAATTTAACATTACAAAAAATCTGAACTTTTTTTTCAAGTAGTCACTGAACCATGAAAATGAGGTCAAGGACATTGGACATGTGACTGACGGAAACTTCATAACATGAGGCATCCATATACAAAGTATGAAGCATCCAGGTCTTCCATCTTCTAAAATATAAAGCTTTTAAGAAGTGAGCTAACGCCGCCGCCGCCGCCGCCGCCGGATCGCTATCCCTATGTCGAGCTTTCTGCGACAAAAGTCGCAGGCTCGACAATAAAAACTGGCATTTCAAATTATGATAGCATTATAATAACAATAAATTCTTTATTTAAAGAGAGTAAACACAGTATGCACAATTTCCTCAAATCTCAATAATTAATCTCACATTTTTGTCCATTAAATGTTCAACAATCAATCAATAATAAATGTACAGAATTTTTGTGAATTTACAGTAGTTCTGATAAGAAATCAGCACCTCCTACAAAGATAATCATAAATCATGACTAAGCCTAATAGACTCTTTATGGTGCAAAGTCCATTTAATAAATTGATTGTTTACTTCATATTCAGTGGCAAATATTTCATGCTCAATCAGGAGGTAAAATTTATCAAATAGGTAGGTTTTTCAAAAGGGGTCAACTGGAAGGAAGGGCAAAAAATAATGTCCAAAGGTAAAAGAGGGTAAGATAGGCAAGGACACAGGGACAGAAAGTTTGCCTTCCCGGAAAATTATATTAAGGGTTCTGGAACATGCAGAGAGCAGCATTCTTTCAAACAGCCCATTGGCAAATTAACATCCAAATTACAAACAGATAAAGTTCACTGGTTGTGAATGTTGCAAAGATTGTTTCGAATTGGTCCAATGGTTAAGAAAAGGAATGTTTTATAAAGTTCATATGGACAAAGAAAAATTCTGTGTGGTGACAATTGGTCATTAAACTTCTGGGTCAAGTGAGCTAATTATGGAGGTTTCTTTCAAATCACAAATTGAATGAATCCATTTTATAATACACATGTCAGATATTTAAACCATCACATAATTTCCTTTAGTTGAAAATGCTCAAAACTTTTAAAAGCAAAAAGCAGACTCCTCAAAATGTTTACTCATTTAATAATATAGAAGTGTAGCAGATATTTGGTTAGACCTTTAAAAAGTAGTTAGACTACAATTTCTGATCTAAAAGAGAACCAGTGCAAGATTCAATATTTATACTTGACCGACATGTTGATTATTTTTTTATAACAATGTGTTGTTTGTTTTAACTCCATTCTTCATAAGATAAAAAATTTAAGTATGGCATCGAATTTTCCTTACTTTCCTCTTAATTTGCTATTGTTAGTCACAAAAAAGGCTACCATGCCGGATGATATCACTTATAAAATACACTTCTTTTTGCAGATCATTGGAAAAGAAAGATTATGTTTGCTGCTTGCCTTCATATATCATCTAAAAATCATAACAGAAACAGACGTCACCACAGAATGTTGTGCAATAAGATATTTCTTCTCTCCTTAGTTAGAGATAGATTTGAAATATTTAAAACACTCTGCATGCCTTATGTCTTAAATTTAAAATTAAGCTGTCCCAGATGGGGAAATAACATATCAGACTCAACGTAATGGAACAACCTATATGTATACCTAGAACAGGCATAACAACAATCGGCTATCAATATTGAAAGCTATATATAAAATATATTTTTTTTTTATTATTATTGAAAAAAGAAAAATGCATCCAAGATATGAAATAATTCATTGTAAGATATTCATTTAAAAAGATTTCTGTACATAAAAGTAAATTAAAAAGCAATATTACCTTTAACACCTCATAAAACTGACCACCATAAAAAGTCAAACCCTTTATCTGATCATTAAATATGGACTTAACTGAAGTTATAAACATAACACATATGGCAGACTACAGAGAAACATGTTGGCTTGATGAAATAAGACAGCCTCAAGGCTACCTAGCACATGTCTTGTAAGGACATTAAATATTTAACACGTATATTGAAAGAAAACATTCTATTTAAGATTAAAAGTCTTGTTAGAAAATTTAAAATAGACACTTACAAGTTAAATAACTGTATTGTATGTTAAGATACATGACTAACATGCCCAAAGCAAAATGAATTTGCGATATTAAACTACAAATTTCTGATCATCTTGATTTTCGTCCATACTATTAACATGAAACTTTTTATTGGATACTTCAATTTGCAGTATTCACAAATTTTGCATACAAGCCTACAGGAAATTGGCATTTCATTTAACATTTAAATTCATGGTTCATCTTTTAAATACCAAGGAAATCCATCAAAATTAGTGCTCTAGCATCATTAATTCACATATTTGGTAAATATTGTATTCAACCAATACTTATTATCTTAAAAGTTCATCATAAACCAGGTAGATTAATTCATGACATTCAGAAATCAACCCTAATTCCCCGCCTAATTCCCCCCCCCCCCCCCCCCCCCCACCTTGACATATGCCATTATGGTACAAAAGATATCACCCAGAAATCAAAATGTTTGCCCTAATGTATATCAAATGCTGCTGTGACTGTCAATGTGTTCTCTGATGTCATTCATCATTATATAATCCAACTCAATATTTCTACAGTCAATGCAATTGTTAAAATCGAAGTTCAAAAATGAAAATAAAAAAAGCATATCTGTCCTTTTTCAAATTAGATCCCAGTTAATATATATCAAAGATGAAGTCAAGTTCAATGAAATATTAAATCTTTATTTGTGATTGATAAAGCAATAATCTTTGACATATAGATAGGGTTCTTGAACTGTCTGTCAATTTTTACTGATCTACTTACTTTTCCCATATCTATATAATGATCTCATGACCCTTGAGAATAAGTCACTAATATATTGTGATTTGTCGAGTTTCTTAATTTATTGTTTGCCCCTGACTTTGGTATAATGAGAATTGTAATACCAGACTGTATAGCACAACTATTTGGATTTTTTTTATTTTTAATGATATTGTTTTGAACTTTCAACTATTTCATTAGAGGGCCACAGATTTATGAGTTTTGTGTAAGGTAATGCATGTCTGTCTTCATGGTAGACTTTTGCATCCATAGGCCCAAGTCTCATTTTCCAAAGGAGTAGGTTCAATAAACTCCTAAATTAACCCCTATTTCTAGCTAAAATTTCAAATAAGAATTAATTGACCAATATTACAATGAATCATAGTTAAAACATTGACTAGGTATGAAATATATATTTTTGTTGAAAATTTACATATTTGCATTCTTTTCATGGTGTCACAAATAAAATGCATTTTGATTTTTGAAAATTCAAAAAACAGGTCAAATTGATTTTTGTTGACAGAGTGCATGTGCAACAAGAAAGATCTTTTGACATACTGGGTAATGTTTGTTATAACATTTTACATATATCTGATTTGAATATTTAGATTGTCAACATCTGTGCTCTATGTTTCCTAGGCCTACATTTGGTAGAAATATAGTCCATTTTGACAAATTTCGTCAAAACCTCTACTTTTGGCCTAATGGGGTAGTAAATATTAATGCTTTTATAAGACAAGAGTGCACATGCTGAAATACATGTACACCTTACAATCATTCAATACACTTAATATAGTTGACCTATAGCTTATAGTTTCTAAGATACCGACTTAACCAAGAAAACTAAACATTGACTAATGAACCATGAAAATGAGGTCAAGGTCAGATGAACCATGCCAGGCAGACATGCACAGCTTGCAATCCTTCCATACAACAAATATAGTTGACCCATTGCTTATAGTAATAGAAAAACAGACCAAAACACAAAAACTTAACACTGAGCTATGAACCGTGAAAATGGGGTCAAGGTCAAATAAAACCGGCCAGACTGACATGTACATCATAAAATATTTCCATACACCAAATATAGTTGACCTATTGTATATAGTATTAGAAAAAAAAAAAAAACTTAAAAATTTAACATTGACCACTGAACCATAAAAATGAGGTCAAGGTCAGAATACACCTGCCAGCTAGACATGTACACCTTACAATCATTCCATACACCAAATAAAGTAGACCTATTGCATACAGTTTAAGAAAAACAGACCAAAACACAAAAACTTAACTATAACCACTGAAGCATGAAAATGAGGCCAAGGTCAGATGACACCTGCCAGTTGGACATGTACACCTTACAGTCCTTCCATACACCTAATATGCTAGACCTATTGCTTCTAGTATCTGAGATATGGACTTGACCACCAAAACTTAACCTTGTTCACTGATCCATGAAATGAGGTCGAGGTCAAGTGAAAACTGTCTGATGGGCATGAGGACCTTGCAAGGAACGCACATACCAAATATAGTTATCCTATTACTCATTATAAGAGAGAAATTAACACTACAAAAAATCTTAACTTTTTTTTCAAGTAGTCACTGAACCATGAAAATGAGGTCATGGACAATGGACATGTGACAGACAGAAACTTCGTAACATAAGGCAAATATATACAAAGTATGAAGCAACCAGGTCTTCCACCTTCTAAAATACAAAGCTTTTAAGAATTTAGCTAACGCCGCCATAGCCGCCATCAGGTCACTATCGCTATGCCGAGCTTTCTGCGACAAAAGTCGCAGGCTCAACAAAAATCATCACAAAATTGTTTCATTTCACTTTAGTATGTGTCTTTTTTTAACTTGAAACATATCTGATCATTTTTAAAGCAGTTAACCCTATTATATTTCATTAATCCTATCCAAAGATGGAATCAGATGTTCAAGGATTTCATTGTTGCATTAAATTTTTGTCCCTTTACTGATTTTTCTTGGTCCAACGACCTCTACCTTCAAGGGACCTCACTACAGCTTAAATACAATATGCGTTCATGCTTGACCCTGAAGACTAGGGATGCTGTCTCATGCTCATCTACCCATATCTTTTTGTTTGTTTAAGATTGTTTGATTTGTCATATGATCATTATTGATCAAAGGGGGATAACTCTAATACACTACTACAGTATATTTACATGAACAATTGCAAAATAATTCTTTAATTGTTTATAAGGATTCAAATATGAACATAGAAATAATTATCAGAGTTTCATTTTGCCATTAGGCTAAATCAACAACAACATTCAAGCAAATGTTTCATGAATCTTTGTTATTAATTTGCAAATCACATGCATGAAATGTTGTTAGTAGCATTAACACAGTATAAATGTATACATTTTTGATGAAATTGCATCATGGGTCAAAATTCTTGAATATTCATCATAATTGGAGACTTTGACAATCATTTATAACATTTTCTTTTTTGCAGTGAAGTTAATCCAGACCACTATACACTTTTTTGCAAGGTAGAAAAAGGTAAATTAATTTTGAATACCACCTAAAATACTATGACTACCATTAAAGAATAGAAAGGTTTTGGAATAATGGAACTTGTAATGAAACTAACTTTCTGTTGGAACACCTCTTGATACAGACTGCAGTCTTCATATTCATATTCATATTGCCCCACAAAAACACCTGTTTCCCACCCTTCCAAACCTACTAATGTAGATTCATATTGCCCCACAAAAACACCTGTTTCCCTTCCTTCCCCCACCTACTAATGTAGATTCATATTGCCCCACAAAAAACACCTGTTTCCCACCCTTCCCCACCTACTAATGTAGATTCATATTGCCCCACAAAAACACCTGTTTCCCTACCTTCCCCAACTACTAATGTAGATTCATATTGCCCCACAAAAACACCTGTTTCCCACCCTTTCCCACCTGCTAATGTAGATTCATATTGCCCCACAAAAACACCTGTTTCCCTTCCTTCCCCCACCTACTAATGTAGATTCATATTGCCCCACAAAAAACACCTGTTTCCCACCCTTCCCCACCTACTAATGTAGATTCATATTGCCCCACAAAAACACCTGTTTCCCACCCTTCCAAACCTACTAATGTAGATTCATATTGCCACACAAAAACACCTGTTTCCCACCCTTCCCAACCTACTAATGTAGATTCATATTGCCCCACAAAAACACCTGTTTCCCACCCTTCCCCACCTACTAATGTAGATTCATATTGCCCCACAAAAACACCTGTTTCCCTACCTTCCCCACCTACTAATGTAGATTCATATTGCCCCACAAAAACACCTGTTTCCCACCCTTTCCCACCTGCTAATGTAGATTCATATTGCCCCACAAAAACACCTGTTTCCCTTCCTTCCCCCACCTACTAATGTAGATTCATATTGCCCCACAAAAAACACCTGTTTCCCACCCTTCCCCACCTACTAATGTAGATTCATATTGCCCCACAAAAACACCTGTTTCCTACCCTTCCCCACCTACTAATGTAGATTCATATTGCCCCACAAAAACACGTTTCCCACCCTTCCCCACCTACTAATGTAGATTCACATTGCCCCACAAAAACACCTGTTTCCCACCCTTCCCCACTTGCTAATGAAGATTCATATTGCCCCACAAAAACACCTGTTTCCCTTCCTTCCCCCACCTACTTATGTAGATTCATATTGCCCCACAAAAACACCTGTTTCCTACCCTTCCCCACCTACTAATGTAGATTCATATTGCCCCACAAAAACACCTGTTTCCTACCCTTCCCCACCTACTAATGTAGATTCATATTGCCCCACAAAAACACCTGTTTCCCACCCTTCCCCACCTAATAATGTAGATTCATATTGCCCCACAAAAACACCTGTTTCCCACCCTTCCCCACCTACTAATGTAGATTCATATTGCCCCACAAAAACACCTGTTTCCCACCCTTCCCCACCTACTAATGTAGATTCATATTGCCCCACAAAAACACCTGTTTCCCACCCTTCCCCACCGAGAGAGAGTTAAATATATACTTCAGTTATGTCAAATAAAGGTGTATTCCAAACAGGAGCATTTGATTATACTGTCAGTTTCTAAATTAAATACTTTGGGTCTGCAGTATGCAGTATACAAATTTGGAAAAAATAAGACACAATATAGTCTTTTCATTCAACACTTTATAGTATCCAATAAAATCCCTTTGCATATAAAAAATCAATTCTAAAGCTTAAAATTCTGAAGCATTTGTTGTCAACTCAAGGTCTTTACCTAGATTTTATCATTAATACTTTTGAACAAGCACTAAACGTATTCATTGGATATTGAAAACAAATAATTATTAATAAGAGGAATATAAGATAAGAACCCAATTCAATGAGTAAATTCCCTCAAACATGTAATCTTTACATTACTGATTTGTCTTTAACAGATTAACCATTTCTTTCTTTGGTCTTTTTTTTATAAGTTTTTATAAGTAAAATAAAAGGAGCATTTTGCATTCCATATCTAAAGGGCTAGGTGTATGAAATGTATTTATATTACTAAAAACTAATAAATAGATGCTATTGTAAAGTGTCTTAAAGAATACCGACCAAAGGTACCCAATTACGTTTGAAGGGTCTTACTTTTTCTCTAGTCTGTCCACAGCATGCATCATGAATTAATATATTTCTTGTTCCTTCTTTATGCTCCAGTAAAAAATATTCATAACCTCACATTTGAACTGTACTTTCAACACATTATTTCAACTCTAATACATAGTAATATGATCTGTAAATAAGGTCCATTAATGATACTTCATTGCTGTCAAATTTAGTGAAAATCCATTATTATATCCATTTTAAAGTGTAAATTACTTTAAATATATGTCTGATATCCAAATTGTTTACAAAATCACTAGTCTTAGACCAACAAGCACCCTGAGGTGTAAATCCATGTCCTTTCACAGATAATGACTTAATTCAGGGAATATTACAGCTTTTAATGTCATAATTCACTTATTTTGTTATCAAAAATTAATCCACCATTTAGGGGATTAAACTGTACATTTTTTCTTTCTTAAAAAATACAGATAATACAAAAAAAAACATAGCTTATCACCTGACACTTTTTACTTAAGTTTAATTGTTTCTAAATCTTCAAGATTTTCAAATCATTTTTTAGAGTAATTTTTTAATAATCCTAATAAATAATTCCGTTATTACAACCACTTCAGGTGACTCAAAGTTGCCACACATGTAGAAATTTCTCATTAAATCCTATATTTTCCATCCCTTTTTAATACAGTACAATATAGTTAGATCCACATGTTGCACAGAGTAAATTTCATCTTCCGACAGGTATTCATAAAAATTCACAAAAATCAAATTATCATTTTTTCTGTGAATTTGAAAAGTAATTTTCACCAATTTAATCCAGTGTTCACATAAGAAAGGAAAAGTTCAGTTTGACGACCTTTATATGAACATATCATTATTATTACACAATTATCTCTAAAAAGTACCTGGAGACACATTAACATGTTCCTATATGAGATAACAAACCAGTTACTCCAGACATCCTGGACACTTCCACATTTTTAATTCTATTTATTTTGTCTGATGTAGAGCTGATAACAGTTTCACCTCTCCGACCACATCACAAATTTTTAAATTTTAAAACTCCTATATTTAACCAATGCACAGCATTCCATTTAAATTAAACTTTTATAAAACCTGATAAAATTAATAGAATCTTGGCAACAATAAAGTTGTGGAGAAAAATTTACAATCTTAAAGGTATAAATAAAATTGACAGATAATTATTTTGTCATACAATTCAATTTATTGTTGTTTGGTATGTGACAGAACACATTTGAAATGAAAATAAAGTTAGTTTTATCGTATTGTTTTGCAATGAACAATACTGAGTTCTATGTATATCTTTCAAACTGTTAAAAACTTTATGAATTAAATACTTTTTAAAGACTAGATGTTTTATTCAGTTTTAAAGTTTCATAATTAATGTTTTTTTAATGCACATATTTTGCTTCTGATATTACAATTTCATTTCAAAAAATGTCATTATTTGCCTATACCCTCCATTTGACAGCCAAATCAAAGGTGAATTCTATATCTGTTTTATTAGGTACAAAATAATTCTACATTTTTGTTTTAATACTGTTAGCCTAAATCTAAAATAGTTTAGATTGTTTGTATGCTATACAAATGACCCCCAAAAATAAATGTTTGTACTGACCTGATTACTTTACTGAACAAGTACTATTGAACAAGTACTATTACAATCAAAAATTTC